GCCCTTAGTTTTGACCAAGTTCCCTCTTTGTACTTCTCATAGGAAATAAGTACTGGGCTGGTCTTCTGGTTGACTATTACAAGCCCAGAGCTGCTATATACTTCAAGTACTTGTTGGAAAGCATGGTAAAAGGAGAGAGGTTTTCGCTGGAAGACTGGAGAAGGGAGTGGATTGGTCTGACTAACAAATGGCAGAGCAGTAGAAAGGTGTTTCCAGTGAAAGCTTCGGGTGATGCTCTCAGTGTATCGCGACGGTTGTATGACAAGTACCTGCGAAATTCTGACTCAAAACTGTTACCGGTTTTCATGGATGATTCGAGCATTAAAGCTGGGAGCTTTTAGAATTGGCAACAGCTGCTTCGTCAGTTAACAACCTCATGTTTTAGCCTTAGTTTACTATGTGAAGCATTGAGCTTCTATCAACTGTGGATTATTAGCTGCGATGGGTTTCACTCTTGTGATGATGAATACTCTATGCGTAGAACTTGGTCGACGGTGGAAACTCACTCACCCTTCTTTCTCATTCTATCTTGATGTGAACTGTATCAGTTTTTCATGGTAATTATTGCCTGTGCCGGTGGAACATCAAAACTAAAATCCAGTAATCGGTACTTTTTGGTAAGAGCACATCAGAGAGACTGTCTCACTTCTTTAGGAAAAGTTTTTAGTTTATTGACACAACAAAACTTCTGAGTGGTTCACCTTTGTAATGTTGCATCCGCTGAGGAAGCAACTAAAGTTCCACCAATCGATGAGAAGATACCACGGAGATCTCAATCGCGGAGCCCATAGATATGCTATGCTGTTGGCTTTCTGCTACCAAGCTAAGAGCGCACTCGGCAGCTTTGCAACTGTAGCTGCAATGTTGTTGTCATTTGCATGCAATTGATATACAATAATTGTTCTTTCATGCAACTGTAGTTGTAACTATTTGATTCAATTTTCTAATTTTATAACTTTGCAGTTGTAGCTGTTTAGTGTTGCTTGTAAGGTAACTTCTCATATCCAACTTGTTTTTTTTACTTTTAATAAATTAGAAAAATATGTTAAATGGTTTTTACACTTCTAAAATATTTTAAGTTTTTCAAGAAATAATGTTTTTCTAACTTTTTTTAGAAAAGAAATCTTAAATTCCTAAATTTATATTTTTACAGTATTTGAAAAATATGCTTTTCCAATTATTATTTTTTGAATGTTATAATTTTGAGAATTAAAAATAATGGTTCTTTGAGATCTTCTCTGATAGTTTGTAATTTTAAAGTTTTGATTTGCAGTAGCTCTTGGCTTCCATCGATATTGAAAATAATCCTAACAATACATTAACTTTTATCTTATGAAGAATCCAATATTAATCATTCTCAAAGGTAGGTGTCGGATGAGATGTTATTTTTTTTGAGATTCTGTTAGATGATAGTCAAAATGTTGACAATTGGAGTTATGCTTGTACCTGAAGAAAAGTAGATGTCTAATCATATATAGTCATCAAACAAGAGAAATCCAGAGCACCCACCAATTGCAGGATTTCATTCTTCATGTACAGAACCTTTTGATTCTAGTAAATGTAATAACCTTCATAAATCAAAAATGGTTATCAGGGCTCAGAAGGGAAATGTGTAGTAACCCATATCGTAAAAGCAAGAAGTCCTGGCTTTGCCTGTTTAGCGCTTTACGTGCACCGACACAAAAAGGGTTTAGAACATAAAATCTGAATCCAACCGCAAGTGAATTCCACATCGGCAGCCAATTAACACAAAAGCCAAGGCAACCCTCCGTTTCCTCTTATTAGACCATCTCCAATGGCAAGGCAAATATTGTATTTCTCTCTCCTTCCACCTCACTTTATTCTCCCTCCACATCACTTGCCTTTTCCAATTGCCTTTCAACTCCACAACAAAGATTGGAAGTATCTGATATCATCCCGAAATTCCCATTTTACACCAAAATCGGAATCAATAGTGCGATTACAATCTACTTGCTATACCAATCACTTGCATCATTATCTTCTTTGCTTTTCTTGACAAAAGCAAAACTATTAGTAAAGTTATCCAATTACTAACTATGGAAACTAACAAAGGATTTGGATTTTCTTCAGCATCAAGAACAGCGAAGTGATCGTTGCTTTTAATCCCAATCGTCGATTGTATAGTAAAAGGTTGTGATTCGTCATGGAGTGCAAATTATGAACGGATGCAATTCATGAGGGTAAGATATATGTTAGATTTATTATGATTCACAAGCATTCATTAAACAATCATCATTACAGAGCGGTCACAAGCAGAGGCATGTATAGGAATATGCTGAATGTACTCAATTAATTAGCGACCAAGTCTAAACGCCGACGTGCAAATTAGTTCACTAGCCTACTACGTGAGCTCATGCTGTTTCCGGTAGGCTACAACGCCAACTTATAAAACGTCCAATTGGTCCTTTTGTGTCTTCTATTCTTGTTCGTTTCTCTGTTTGGTTTTTTTTTTTTCATTTCAACATCGATAAATTTTTTTTTGGGCACATTGTAGATAATATACATGAAGGTAATTTCAGAGTACTACATGCTGTTAAAATTAAAACAATTCTTATAAAACTAAAAATAAAAGAGTTATAACACCAGGCGCCTGAACGGGTGCAGTCGTGATTCACTGCCCTAGAAGATAGAGGACCCATCTTTCGCCCTGGCGCAGTCGATTCTCTCCCCCTAGTGGTAAAAGCCCCCGAAAACGGCCGGCCTCTGTACTCGGGTGCGAGTAGCAGAGCTTCTGCTCAGATGAAGACAGTTGCCCGAAAATGTAACAATTATAATATCAGAGAAATTTTTCAACCCAAACCGATCCGAACCGACCGGAAAAATCGGTTTTATGAGTAGGGCGGTTCGGGTCGGTTTGAAAACTTTTCAACCCGAACCGACCGAATATAGTGCAATACTACCCATTCTGATCTCAAACCCTACCCAACCCGTCCCCAAAGAGTCAAAGACTCAAACCCTAAACACATTTTCTGAATCATTATGGATTGAAATCAATATCATTATATCAGTGTTTAATGCTTCATAATCTCCTATTTTGTTGATATCTTTTTTCCTTTAACACTGTTTGTTGTTTGATATGAAGTTTGATGAAGTAAGAACCGAACAAACCGAACCGAACCGAACCGCACCGAACCGACTTGCAACAGTTCGGTTCGGTTTTGAATTATAGACGCTTCAGTTCGGTTGTTCAAATTTTGGTAAAAACCGAACCGAACCGACCGTTGCACACCCCTAGTTGCCATGTCTTCTCCGAATGAGCTTTAGCTCTTTAGATAGCCTCTCGAACTGATAACCGATGCTGATAGTCTGCACACGTTACACGTATATCCCGCGTCCGTTATACGTTTCCATAACTCCCGCGACCGTTACAAGCTTGTATAAAACGTGCAAAAAATAAAACTTGAGAGGCAAAAAACTCGTGCGAGTGCGGTGCGGCGCGCGCGTCGTGGGGAGGCGAGGCGTGGCGTGCGTACGCACGCGCGCATGTGGAGCAACAGCCCAAACAATACTAGGCCCAAAACACTAACCCAAAGCCCATTGAGATGTGAACCATTATAAACTTCTTGAACTTCTTCTCATTTTCCGATGTGGGACTATTCACAAAGGCAAAATTGCCTTTTCATGAACCAAAAGTCCAACAGTCCCCCCCAAAAGGCAATATTGACTAAAACAAAATAATAAGTAAATCAGTAAATCATAAAAGATATAGGTTGGGCAACATTTCGTATCGTGAATTCGGGAGAGATAGCTTCCGGTTTTGAACCTTTCTTTAGTGAGTTTATCGCCACCTGAGGGACATAATGGACTAGGCCTTGAATTAGGCCCATTGAATCAGGTATTGACAAAACACACACATAATATGTTTTCATCCATTGAGCAAAGCGGGTTGAGCGTTAAAGGCCATGCTCACAATAAACCGACTCATGAGAGTTTCTAGGATTAGCCCAGCCCCCCCCTAACCGCGACCATCACGGTTCCTCTCACGTAGGTAAGTCCTCAAAGGGTACTACAGCAGTTTATTTAATACCTCTCATAATATACACGTTGGACTTATTAAGAGTAAAACTCAGCCTAGCCAGCTATATCATAAGAGCATCGTCATCATAGAGAAGGGGAAGTAGCACAAGCTACATAGTGATATATGAATATATCTGGGTCGATGCTCCACACGAGTATTACTAGTCTAGCTTGTTTCTACCACATTGAACCAACATTGGGACTGTTGGCCTTCTTGTTTTGATGATGATTTAACAAATAATTTACATCTAATATTGTTTGTCTAGTGTTTATGTTTTGTTATTTATTGTAGACAAACAATAAGTTGGAGGATGGATGAAATTGCGCATTCACGATCATATCCAATGGAGGTTGGCGGGAAAATAGAGTGAAGCCTTGCTATCAAGTTAAAGATCCAATTACAAGCTTCATCCAAGTTTACCAAGTTGAGCTACAATGAAGATCAAGATCAAGCTTGGGTACTTATGCTAATCTAATCCGATTAAATGCCAATTAAATTTTATTAACAAGTTATCCTAGCAAGTATAAAATACAACAATGTATATGAGCTAGGATAAGCAATATGAATAACAAGATATATCCTAACAAAGAGATATAAGCAATGTATGTGCAAGGATATGTAAACTAACACAAGATGATATATCCTATCAAAGAGATATACAATGTGATATATGTAAGGATATGTAAACTAACACAAGGGGTAAACAATCTAAACAAGATAGTGGATGATATAGATAATGAGCTAATGACAATGGCGATATAAGATATGAACATAAATATGAATGAACGCCAAAGCACACTCAAACAAGCAATATGATCACGGAGTTCGGACCTTCCGTCCTACGTCTCCGCTCCCCACTCCCGGGGAGAAATCCACTAACACAATCCGGTTTGGAAGCCGGAACTTCTTCTACACACTCGGTTTTCTAGCTAACCGAAAACTCTACAACTCACACTCTTGCAATCACACTCTACACCCACTAAGTGTTGGACCTAGCCGTGTCTCCCTCAAGTGCTCGGTTACAACCTCTCCCTAGGCACGTCAACCGACGCCACTCCTCTTGGGACGATCCCCGACTCTCACCACACACTCCTCACTCGGTGTACAAGTGTATTACAAAGTGATTCTCACAATAAGCACAAATATGACAAATGATTGTTCTCAAAACAAGGTGAGAACTCAATTAAGCTCACTCTCAATGTCACAAACCCACAACCCTAAATTATACTATGAATGTAAATACAATAAGCTCAAAAGGTTGTGTGTGAACAAAGAGATATAAATCAAAACTAAACTCAATGTAGTTCTAGCTTAATAACAATGATAATCAAATATATAAAAAAGCTAGAAATAGAGTTTAGAAAACTTCTCAATATATCAAGAGTTGGAGGGAGAATAGTTGAATGCCCAAACACCAATAGATGATCTCCTCAAGCTCTTGTAGAATTGAATCACAAAAACAAACTCTCAATTTGCTTAAAAGCTTTTTAAACACACTTAAACCAAACTAAAACCCTTGTTAAAAACTTTATTAAACTTGATTAAAAACTCTCTTAGTTAACTTGAAAAGACATCAGCAATGGGGTATATATACCCACTCAAAGCTCAGCCAAAAACACCCAAAACAAAAGACCAAAAGACCCAGCCCAAAACTCAGCCAAAAACCCAAACAAAAAGACAAAAACAGCACAAAGCAACGGTAATAAAAAGAGCCGTTGGAAGCAGAAAAAGTTACTATCGGTCGACCGGAAATTTCATCGGTCGACCGGACCGGTAGACCGACAGACTCTCTGTCGCCTAGTGAACACGAGAACTCAGGTTCGGTCGACCGGGTCGGTCGACCGAAAACTGACATAAATAAAAACAGGTTTTTGACACGTTTAAACAATTTGTAAAATATTCGTTTGACTTCTGAAAATTATGAAACTTTGGGAAAT